GTATGGTTTCACTGGGGACAGCATCGTCCCCAGAGGAAGGATCACGCTAGCAATAGAGATAGGGGAATACCCGTTCAGAGCCCAATACTTTATGGAGTTCTTGATAGTGGACCACCGATCTGCTTACAAGGAGTCTTATGGCGACCTGCCCTGAAAGAATTGGAGACGATAACGTCTATACATCACCTTCTATGAAATTTCCTACCAAAGAGAGAACCGCCACTGTACAGGGCAACCAGATGAGTTCAAGGGAATGCTACCTTAGCTCCTTACGAAAATCTGAGCCCAGAAGCATAAATATGGTCATGTTAGATATCGAAATGGTTGATACACCTGAAGAAGGTCTGATCCTTGAACAAGGGGGAGACCTCAGCATGATTGACAACCCCAGAGCAGTCATCGAGGTGGATCTTGATCCACGGATCATGGAGTCAAACTCACAGGCTACTCCTGTCGAAGAAGTGGAGTCTTTCCCAATAATACCTAACGACCCTATGAGGTCATTACAAGTAGGGAAGGACCTTGAGCTAACGACCTCGAGTCGGAAACAAAGGACAAAATCAAACACTTTTTGCTCGACAACTTGGACATCTTCACCTGGAAACACGAAGACATGGTGGGAATTGACCCTAAACTCAGATGCCACCAGCTCAACGTGGACTCTAAATTCAATCTTCATAGGCAGAATCGGAGATCTTTAAATCCGGAGCAGTATGCTGCATTAAAAGAAGAAGTTCATAGGCTCATATCGAATGGGTTTATCAGGGAAGAAATGTACGCAAAATGGAAATCGAGCCCGTTGCTTGTGAAAAAGGAGAACGGCAAATGGAGAGTTTGCATAGACTTCTCTAACCTCAACCAAGCATGTACAAAAGATGCCTTCCCACTCCCAAGGATAGATCAATTGGTTGACTCCACTGTTGGTCACGAGCTGTTGAGTTTCATGGACGCCTATTAGGGGTATAACTAAATTCCCTTGCACCCCGCTGACGAGGAACACACCTCCTTCATCATTGATCGAGGTCTGTATTGTTATAAGGTCATACCATTTGGATTGAAGAATGCCGGCGTGACCTACCAGCGACTAGTAAATAAGATGTTCTTCGACCTCCTGGGAAACATGATGGAGGTATACGTTGATGACATGCTGGTGAAAAGCCT